GGGAAAGACTGCTTTGTCACTAAACATGTTCCTTTGACCTCTCTGAGTGTGCATGTGGTTAAGTAATTTCACATATAATATGATTCCCTCTGTATGCCACGTATTACATGTAAAATGTAAGCTGTCCAAAGGACAGAAGGAATCTTCTGCAGCACAGCCGTAAGCCAGGGAGGAAGCCTTGCTACTGGGCCTTTGATGAGATTGGCACGGACTTCAAGCATAACTAAATAAAAACTTTGCACCACTTTCTTATGGGGTGTGGTAACATAGTGAAGTCAGTTTCCTCCCATCAAACCTGAAATTCTCAAAGAACACTCTCAGGCATAACATATCTAATTATTAAATTTCGAACTGCTGATCACCAATACTTGAATACCAGTAGTGACTGAGACTCCTAGTTTGGTTAGTCTGACTCAGGATTGGGGCCTAATTAACTCTTGAAATTTTTGAAAATTTTAATTCTCAACCTATAGAGGCTCCAAGTGCAATTAATGATAACTTCTTTATACCTTTCTCAGAATTTAATAAAGAGTCCACTTGTTTTTTGTCTTGAGAACTTGCCCCTTGGTGCCCCTGTAAGGGCCTCAGAAATCTTTAAGAATTGCATGGATGAATGTGACCATAACTGACTGGTTTCAGGAATGGTTTAGATTAAGAGACAAGACTCCAGATGAGGCAAATATAATTTTTCTCTACAGGTACCAATACACCTTGACTTGTCAGCTTCCGTCACCCATTGAGATTCTCAGAATTTGCAATTAATTGAATAGAATTCATCAAAGAAGTTCAAGGGTAGCGTAAGCTAACTGGCTTTCACACTGTCAGCCTGTCTGGTGCGTGAACCATCCCACACCTTGCTTTGCTCCTACTAACATCCAGACTTCCCTGGAACAGATTGCCCACCGCTAGACCTTAGGAAAGACTCATTCTCTTGCTCTTTAACTCAACATCCAAATACTGGCAATGGGGCAGAAATCCAGTGAATGCTGTCAAGTGGGAGCAGAGAATGAGCGGAATTGCTGACTCCTGTTTGTAGACTGAAGAGGAGGAGTGATGAGAAACGCCCCTCGGTCTAGCTTTCTTTTCTGCCCTGCACAGGGTGGCAATGCAAGAGAGGAATCAAGGTTGAAAGGCGGCAAGACCATCCATCAAAGTGGCAGGACGAATTCTCCAGTCTGAGGAGACCTATCACCTTTGCACCTCACTGCCTTTAAACACAGAAGGGAGGGCCAGCAGAATCTCAGCACTGACGCTTGGCCCTCACGAAAGGACAAAAGGATGAGAACAAGGTCATTGGGCAACTCCAAGGCCCATGCCCCAGCCAGCTTTCCTGACCGTAACCTCCAGCCTCAGGAAAGGGACCTTTCCAAAACACAGATTCCAAAGAAAACAAGACAGACCAAGGAGCGTCCTCTCCAGTGGACCCTGCCTGCTTCGCGCTGTCCGTGCTCGGCACTCTGTGTGGTGTCTTTCAGATCGATATCTCTTCCCAAGGAGCAAGTGCAGGGCCCCCATGAGCCCTGCACCGACGTGTTCTAAGTCCTAGGTCAGACTGTCAAGATCATTTACCTATAGGTTGATATTTAGCTTGAAGAAAAAAAATTAAAAAATTTAAAAAAAGGAAGAACTCAAAGGAAACCAGTTGCAAATACCTTAGATCAACAGTGCATCCCTTTCCCAGGAACGATGGTGTTGTACTGAGACACCTTCTTTGCATGGTATGGAAGCATGATTTTTGCTTGTGGGAACACTTAGTCTTTGATCAAACCTCTCACATTGCTCAGTGGTTCCCTTTCCGCGCAGTAGTACTTCCCGAGAATGTTTGACTTTAGAAAGCGAAATTCTAGTTTCAGAAGACACTGAGCTAGCATATGCGTTGGCTTCCGCCACAAGCCGACATCGGGGTGGGGGTGGGATCATTATTTTCGAGCAGAGCAAATTGATTTCATGCAGGTTGTTAACACATCTGCCGCCTCATTTTTCCCATGAACAACATTGCTCTTTTCCCTTTCTAGAAAGTAGCTTCTGCCATCAAGGTCAATGATTCTATATGCTTTCGAGAGCTCATTTCTGATGTCCTTTTGTGAGCGCTCTTTTATAGCCAGCAGAACACAGCCTTCCACCGCCAAGCTAGCCACGACAGTGTGATCCTTAGCGTGTGCTCTTAAAGCATGTTCTGTTTTTCTGCCTACATGTGGACGTTAACAAAAGGGGAGTGTGTGCAGATATTCCTTCAGCTGCTTCAGCTATTCAATCCAGTCATCACGAGGCATAAATGACTTCAATACTTCATACATTTTGGTTTTCGGGTGTTCTTTCACATCCTTTACACATGCATTTGTTATTGTGGGAGATAAGCCTGCGATGAACGTGTACATAGAACATGAATAATTCGTAGAAGGGTGGAAACTAAGTGGCCGCATGATGGAAATTTAGAAGAAAAAAAGAAGCAGACGCTTGAAATTGCTAAGCATGTTTGGGGGAAAAAAAATAGAATCTTTAACTCAGTGCCTCTGTTTGCAATGTGGAAACCTTCAACTTTATTCACCAAAATTGTATTATACATGTATATATATAAATATAGTATAGTGAATCAGACACCACTAGTTTTCAGTCTCCTGTAGCCAAATTGAAATAAATAACCCATGATTAACACTTATGTTCACCCCATCTTCATCTCTGATGTTGGTGGAGGTCATTGAAAGGATGGTAAATTTCATTACTTGGGGTAGAGTTCAACTATGGACCGTCCCGCGCTTTTCGTTGGCTGGAGCACGGCTTTCTTGCTTTGGCTATGCTCTCCTGGGGTAAGAAGGTTTCGGGGTTTATTGCATAAGATTTGTCAGAAATCACCTCTGAAGGTCATTGGCGTTCCCACTGCACGGTTGTAATAAGATAAATTAAGGGCAAAGGGTAAGGACAGAGTGGGACGTGTTTAGTTAACCATCCTTACACGGAAACCATCTGGGTTCGCAGGTGAACTAATCTGTATACCCTCTCTTACGGTTTTTGCATCTGTGTGTGGGGGAAAGGGTTTTAATTCATTTGCAGATATTTATTGGCCATGTTTTTGGTTGTGAAAAATCTCTTAAGTAGCACAGTTGTGGGGGTATAAAACAGATGGAAAACACACACATACACACACAATACCCCCAAAAGTAATTCTGCCATTTTCTTTCTGGACATTGTAGTCAACAGTGAACTAAGATTAGATTCTGACACATCTTGATCAATCATTTTTCTGTGAAGGTTTCAGGGCTAATGTGATTATGTATATTCTTCAGTTCCACTTTCTTTAGCTTTTCTTCATGGATCAGAGACAACAAGGTTAGTCCCCAATAGGTCACTGACTGGCTTAGGTGAGTAAGAATTTGACTTTGAAGAAGGGCCGGAATATAACTGATTCTACATATAATGTGTAATCTGATCATAGAAGTTGTCTCGAAGTTTTAGTACCTTTCTGATGATCTGACTCAGTAGATTAGGTGACAGTCTGTCATCTAGGCAGTCATTCTTGAAATAAAAAAAAAAGAGTCAGTTCAATGACTGCAATTTGATCATAAAGTGAAACCCTTCGTTCTTGCTGAAACCGAAATGTTACGCAGTAGCACAAGGTTGGCAGGCTGAGGCGAAACCTACCCCATTCTTCTCCTCTGTTCTGCCTTTAAAACAATCTGTTAGCGTTTGAACTATAAGTATTTAAGCTTTTTAGGAGTTAGTGCAATAAGAGAATGTGAATATGTCGGGAACTTCTCAGATGCCATTATTAATTGTAATTTTGTTGTTAAATTAACAAATGCTTTAGGATTAAGCCTCTTGATGTTTTTGCTTTAAATCGAAAGCATGTCTGTTCAATTCCAAGTCTCTCTGAGTTTCTGTGTATCACCAAGAAGAGGTTCTTTCATTCAATGTTGTCCCTATGCCACTGACACGTCGCTTCAAGTGTAACTCTTAGTGTTTCCATTTTGAGCTGGGATCGCGATTGGTTACGTTAGTCAATACACCACTGCCACTGCGGAAGGACCAAGTTTTGGAACGCACAGTGTTACCGACACAAGCAGAGGAGACAAGGGGATCCTCACATACGCCATCCTCTGTGTCATTTCATGGCTGTTCTGTGTTCCCCCCAGTTATTTATTATTGTTAATAACTTCCTTTTTCTTACATTCTGTTGTAAATAAAGTACAAAGCAATCTTCTTTTCAAGTGTCGCTTTCCTTTCTCTGTCTCTTCTGTTCTCGAGGTAATGTTGGCGGTTAACGTGTGGGTTGATGGATAGGAAACCTCACAGGAAGAAGGAACGTGCCAATGGCTGCTACGTAGACCAGGTCCAGGCAACCTGTGTGCAAGGAAGACTGGCCCGCTAATAACACGGTGTCTTCAGGGCCAAGGGCCCTTGTTAGGAAAAGTCAGGATGTTCATTCTACAGTAAATATAGCCAAAAAATACCCAACATGAATCTGTGTGTGTGTGTGTGTGTGTGTGTGTGTGTGTGCGCACGCGCGCATTCGCCAATGGCCACAGTCACACCGCAATCTTTTCCTTCCATTTCTCCACCCCATCAGGATTTGGGGCTGTATGCATGCGTGGTTGTCATGTTTTTGTTCTTGTTTTTAAAGAATTGTTTATTTAATTCCATTCATTTTTTTTTTAATTTGATTAGAGAGAGAGATAAAGGGAAAGCGAGAAAGCAAGCCTCCAGGTCCAGGACTCAAACCGCGGTTGGCCATGTAGGAATCCAGCGCCATTATCCACTACGCCACCCGCTGGCCCCTGTTTTGTTTTTGGTTTTGGTTTTGTTTTGGTGAACTGACCTTTATTTTATTATCTACCTTACTTACAAAATCATGCATGAATGCCTTGAAAGAAGTTTTCTTCTAATAAACCCATTTTTACTCAGCACAATTCCAAGGGGAAACATTAGGTCTTTCTGGTGTAGGAAAGGCCTTCCATAAGTCCCTAAGTGGTTTTCACAAAATATAAAATGGACCCTAGTCTTGCAGAAGTTTTGGCTTAATTTTACCAAGCACCAAGATGTGCCACAATAGTTAAGGGAAGGCAGAGGCAAGCTAACAAAAAGTTACTAATACGATACATTGCAGTAAATAACTGACCAGATGACAAAAATAATCGTGGCGGATGCCTTAGTTCATCCTTCTAATAAGTCTGTTGATCTGGTCTCCCCTGTTGCCAGCACCTCCACCTTCCACAAAGTGGGTGGTCTTTTCCTTTGTGCCACCTGGTAGAGAAGATCATTCGAAGGGCCACAGGAAGGTATTTGCTTCTTTGAAGCGTTTTCCAACAATATAGATTTCATGAATCAGATTCCATGCAGATGATGCCGAATTTACCTAGAGATCACACAAAGAGTTACCTGTCAAAGCCATTCGCTTCTTATTGACTTTGCCATAACCACACTTGTAGATCAGTTCATTTACTGACTTCAGGTTTGGGTACCCCCATGCAATATATGGTTCCACAATTCTCAGCATTTTTAATTGAGGCCTTGTTGAGCTTAATTAACAAAGGTGCTGTTGAAGATCTGACGAAGACAAAGAAGCTGCAACACCTTTCCAACCTTTGGGCTCACGCCATTGATACCTCTGATCCTGATGACAAACGCCAATTTGGGTTCTGCAGGTACATAGAAGTTGCCAGTTTTTCTTGCCATCCTGGCCATGCGAATCTCAGTTCTGTACATCTGCCTATATTCCTTATGATAGTGCTTAGCTTTTTCATAGATAAGCTTCCTCCTTGCCTTTTTATAAAAAGTTTTTTAAGAATGATTTAATATTTATTTAATTCCATTTATTATTTTTATTTTTCAATTTGAGAGAGAGAAAGGGAAAGCAAGCCACCAGGTCTGGGACTCAAACCATGGTCAGCCATGTGGGAATACCAATGCCTTTAACCACCACACCACCTGCTGGCCCTCCTCTTTGCCTTTTGAAGCATCTTTTGAGCAAACTTTTTTTCTCAGGTGCTTGATCTTTAACTCCATAAACTTCCTTTGCTTTTTCTAAAGGGTTTCTGGCACAGCAGGAACCTTTTTCTTGGTTTCTGCCCCAGCAGGAACCTTCTTTTCCTTCTCTTGAATGCCCTCTTTGCGTCCAGCTGGAAAAGGGCGTCCTCATGTTTTTCAAGTCACCAGGGCCAGGATTCAAACTGTCTGGCCATGTGGAATCCAGCTCCCAATGCACAGCACTTGACCGCTGCTCTGCAGAGTCAGCCAGCGAAGGTGAATCCTCATCCAGTGGGATACGCGACAGGCTCCTCCATCCGGCTAAGAGGCACTTGATTTCTCCACATCAGATGTGAGGCTGCACCCTGCAAGGCTCTGTAGGGACACACCCCTGCACGCCTGCAGAAAGACACCGTGCTCTCTCTACCACAGCCTGGCCACGTTCTAAGGTGAGCTGAAGTCACTGTCGCGGTTTCTCCATTGCGGGTAGGTCCTGGTCTCAGAGAGGTCCTCCAGGATGGGCGTGTGAGGCCCGAAGTGCTTTATCGCTTCTCGCTGGTTAGTCAGTGCTCACGGCAACTCACCTGGGAGCTCTCCCGCCTCTCCTGCAATCCTGAGACTCGTGCCAACACGCAGGGCAGGTGAGGGGACTTCCGAAAGTTCATGGAGGGCCTGCAGGTGGCGTGCTGGTCGAGGTGCTGGATCCCACATGGCCAACTATGTGGTGTGAGTCCTGGACCTATCGCTTGAAAATCACATTGAGAGACCAGCAGGTGGCATGGTGGTTGGGGGTGCTGGACTCCCACGTGGCTGACCGCAGTTCAAGTTCCAGACATGGCAGCCCGTTTTCTCACTTTCCCTCTCTCATTCTGTCCCTCTCTGGTCAAAAATAAATAAATAAATAAGGTTGGATAAAATAATTCTAAGAAAGAAAGAAAGAAAGAAAGAAAGAAAAAAGAGAAAGAAAGAAAGAAAGAAAGAAAGAAAGAAAGAAAGAAAGAAAGAAAGAAAGAAAGAAAGAAAGAGAAAGAAGGAGAGAAAATCACATTGTGTGTGTGTGTGTGCATGTGTGTGTACCCAGGGTCCCAAGAGGAGAATGGAGAAAGGACTACAGTGTGGCCACCCCTCCCCCTGGGGGTTGATTTCTCACTCTCCCTCTCTCTGCATCTGTTTCTCTCTGTATCTGGCAAGCATGCACACTGTGGCCAAAATCTTTTTTTCTGTTTTTACAAAACTAGGCGCAAGTTTGCTGACAATCAGAAAAAAAAATTTATTTTTTTGAGAAGTTTTTGCTATAGGGCACATGTGTGCACCAGAAAGACAGAGAGAGAGACAGAGAGACAGAAAGCGAGAAATCACCCCCCAAGGGGGATGGCCACGCCGCAATCCCTTCTCCTCCATTCTCCTCTCAGGATCTTGGGCACGCACGCACACGCACCTGGCGTGAGTTTAAGCCACTGGGTCCAGGTCTCAAACTGCGGTCAACTGATGGGAGTCCAGCGACATAGCCATTATGCTAACTGCTGGTCCCAAATCAGAAAAAAAATCTTGAAAAAATCAAATGTTCGTGGAGGGGCCAGGTGGTGACAGCTCCACAGCTGGGCCCACAGGGAAACAGTCCTGGGCTGGGAACCGAGGACGTCCCTGAGTACACTGGGTGTGTGCATGTGCCCGTGGTCCTGGCCGGTGGGGGCGGGGGCCGGGGAGCAGCATGAAGACCCTGTTGGGGGTGCCTGTCTCTCTGTATCTGCTTTATGGGAGAAAGAAAGAAACTTTCACACACACACACACACCATACCTGTGCGCACGTATGTGTTCATGGAAAGTGAACTCAAAAGTAGGACTGCTTTGGTGCAGAAGCGTCTGAAGTCCACGTGTAGCTCTTCCATGATGTGCGTTTCTCTTGAACGTTCACGCCCCCTCTCATGTTCTAATCTCTGAGCAGATCAGGCACAGTGTCAGATAACGGAGCACCATCAGCCTGGCTACCCTGAAGTTTTTCCTGAAGTCATATAACAGCAGGCCAGTGAACAAAAACACGCTTGGTTTTGTAGCTCCAACTTCACCATTACCACCCCCACTCGTCTTTTAATTCTCTATTCAAAACATACAAACTGCCCACTCGGAGTAGCTGGCTGGCTGGCTGATTGCAGCCAGGAGGCTTGGCTACAGCCAGGCTGGGTGTTTATTCCTGGAGCTGAACTACACGGGTTGCTAAATATTTAAATACCTGATATTCAATGTTGATGTTTGTAGACTCTTAATTTCCTAATACAACTTTTTTTTTTTTTAGATGTTTTTGCCTTAGGGCGCATTGCATTCACTGGAGAGAGACAGTTACAGCGAGAGGGAAAGTAAGAAACGCCTGGGGGTGGGGGCGGGGATGACCACGCTGCCTTCCTTTCTCCTCCCGGGATCTTGGGCACGCACATGCACATGCCCAATGTGAGTTTCAGGACACCAGATCCGGGACTCAAACCACGGTCAGTCATGTAGGAGTCCAGCGACATAACCGTTACACCATCCGCTTGTCCCCCAGTACAACTTTTAATCAAGTAACCTCTTCCTTTCTTTCTTTCTTTCTTTTGCTTTTTTTGTAGTTTTTGCCATAGGACACATGGGTTCGCTGAAGAGAGACAGAGAAGGAAAGTGAGAAATCACCCCTTGGGGGGATGGCCACACCCCAGTCTTTTCCCTTCCATTCTCCTCTTGGGATTTTGGCCATGCCTCCACATGCTCCCAGAGTCATTTTCAAGCCACCGGGTCCAGGACTCAAACCCCTGGATCACACCTCCTGGTAGCCCCCCTTAGTTACTTCATTTAACCCTCAGTCTTAGACTTCTGAACACCCACAGTCTCTTCTAAATTTTCTTGTTCCCTTCGTGACATTTCACTTGGGATTTCTCCCTTCCAACTTCCAATGGCACCTTGGCCTCTCAAGTTCAAGACAAACCATGTGTCCCTCTCCAAGCCTCATTCTGAAATATCCCTATAGGAAGTAGCAGACTCAAACCTGAAACTTTGATGGACCTTGGAACAGTGAACCTGGGCTCGCGTGTATGTTCAGGCGTGTGCGTGTGTGTGCGTGTGTGCAACTCTATCAGCTGGCCCAGGCAAGCCCTGTTTTAAGGACTGCAATCACCTTTCTCTGCTTATTTACCGGCCCTCTGCAAGCCATGTTCCTGTAAATTCTCCTTTTCCATGACATGCAACCTAGTAGGACATCCCAATTAAAGACAGACAT